ATTGCTGAACTCCTTATTGAATGCCATTTCATATTCGTTACGGAATGAGAGAGAGAGAGGACTGAAAGTCTTTAGACATTCAAAATACTGTGTAGAAGTTGTGATGAATGCATAAAAAAGTGTTATACCAAACGCCCACTCAATACGTTTTCAGTGCCACGACTTGTAAGAGTAGTAGAGTTTTGTGATCAAGTTTTTGTTGCGTTTGCCTCAAAGCCTCAAACCCTCTAACTTTCATTTGCATCCCAAAAATCTGGCGAAAAATACATTTTCTTTGCTTTCAGTCAATGCTATGATTGCAACACAACATCTCAAACACAGCGACACACGAACCGCATCTCCAATGAGTCTTAATTAGCGGTTTTTACTTCTTCTCCAATTCTCTTATCATTAAATTTCTGTGTTTTAATTGAGTGTAAAAAACTCACAATCGCTTTACTCGTTGTTAATCATTCACACAATTAATTGTGAAGTTTTCTTATTTAATAATAAATAACCAAAAAATATTTAATATTTTGGATTAGTTTTTACTGTTATATCAATTGAAATGACAGAAATCGAGCCAAAAAAGTCGATTTCTATAAAGAAAAGTAAAAAAGTTAAAAAAGTGACGATCGATGAGACGCTCACTAGTTTTGATGACGGAAGGGGTGGTAAAGTGACCATAACTCAGGTCAAGAGCTATGGGCCCGAAGACGGACCTATCATTACTGAGATTAATGATATGAACGGTGATATCAATGATGAGGTAATACAACCAAAGTTATAGGTTTCGCTACATTTCACCCCTTTTCCCATAATTTATAACAATTGCTTTTTTGTGTCGGAAACGCTTAAAAAGCATTTTCTAATAAAATTTTTTGTTTATTACTTATTAGTTATTTTTAATGTCATTTGATTTATTGTCTAATTTATTTCATTGGCGTTTTATTCGTCATAAATAATGCATTGCATTACTATTACTACCAATACTTTACTTCGTATAACTATTTAATAAAATTTCGTAATAAATAAATAAATTCAACGCTAATATGTGTAACAATAAAAATGACAACATTTCTCTGGTTAACAAAATTGGCTTATAATTCATTGCCGGAAAAATGTTCACTAATAATAGTATTTGGAAATTAGTGTTTAATTTTGTTAAATAGACGAATCGATTGGCGACAAAAAAAAGTACAGCAATAATAACCAGTTTTCATATATTGTAACCAAAAAACAAAGAAAGTTTGAGAGAAGAGTTGCTTCTATTAATAACATAAGAAATAGAGTTTATTTAGTTTTGTTTGCATTCCTTCCTATTGTGACTTTACATCACAAAAAAGTTGTGAAATTCTCATCGATTACAGCCTTATATATACAGTCTATTGTATTTTTAAATTGCTATAAGAAATGCACGATTACTGGCGTTTAAAGTTTATATTTTGTATTAAAAATGTATTTTATAGTTAATATTCTCGGGAGAGTACACGAAAGCGATGGCCAAAGACTGGCATTCGGGACACTTCTGTTGCTGGCAATGCGACGGCTCGTTGACTGGTCTGCGTTATGTGCTTCGGGAGGAACACCCCTTTTGTGTCAAATGCTTCGAACAGATCCACGCGAATGTCTGCGAAGAGTGCACCAAACCCATCGGTATCGACACCCGGGTATAGATTCATACACTTTATTCATACTTTCAATTCATAAACACTTTAAGCACTTTTAATCAAATGTCAACTCATAGTAAATGTCAAATAGCGTTGTCGTTGAAGTGTTTGATTTCAAATCAATGATTTGACACACGTTTTAATGTTTGTTCAGGACTTGGCTTATAAGGAGAAGCATTGGCACGAGACCTGCTTTCTATGCCATACGTGCAAGAAGTCACTTGTGGATCAAATGTTTGGCTCGAAGACTGAGCGGATATACTGTGCCGACTGTTATGACGTTGAGTTTGCCTCTCATTGCGACGGTTGTGGAGAGATATTCAAAGCCGGTATGCATTCCGCAGACATTGGATCCGTTTATTTGTGACAAGAATTGAATACTTAATGAAATGAAATTCTAGGGACGAAGAAAATGGAGTATAAGGGGAAACAATGGCACGAAACGTGTTTCACTTGTTTCAAATGTCAGGCGCCGATCGGCAACAAGACGTTCATTCCTCGCGAGAACGACATCTTCTGCACCGATTGTTTTGAAACCAAATACGCGACGCGTTGTATAAAATGCAGTGAAGTATGTCTTCAATATACTGTATATATTAACCGCATATATAACTATTTTGATGTCTGTCCGCGGATCAGGTCATAAGCAACGGTGGGCTGACATATAAGGGCGAGCCGTGGCATAAGGAGTGCTTCGCGTGCACGGCTTGCGGCACAGCTCTGGCCGGCGTTAAGTTCAGCGTACGGGAGGACAAGCCTTACTGTCAGACATGTTATGGCGATCTTTACGCTCCCAAATGTTGCGGTTGTCTCAAACCCATTGTAGCCAAAGGTATGCGCGTTTGGCAGCGATTGTGTCAACCGAAGCGATGCTATTATTATAACACCATTTGATGTCTAATTGTGTGTGTATTGCAGGAGTGGGCGGAACTAAATTCATCACTTTCGAGGACAGGCATTGGCACGACGACTGCTTCCTCTGCACCGGCTGTCAGACACCTCTCGCCACCAAAGGCTTCATAACCGACGGACCGGACGTGTTGTGCGCCGAATGCGCCAAATCTAAACTACAAATCTCTGGCCATTAAGACTGAGAACACCAACACTTCGTCCCGTTTTTTGTTATAACACTTATTATTATATAATTTTAGAAAAACTATATTTACAGCTAATATAACCTCAGAAAAGACACATTTATTTATTTTATTGTTTTTGTTTCCTCTGAATGAGAATTATGTGACCAAACGGTTAATACACACAAAAGACAACTGAATTTATAAACTGGTGCTAAAAAGTTCATAATTATTAATTAAATTATTTGTATTATAAACAGATGCCAAACGATTATGATTTCTCTTTTATTGAATTACTATATTTGGCGGCAAAACAATTGATATATAGTTATAAACAATTATGATTAGTTTTATTTAACATTCATTATCTGTTTTTAGGTATTGATTGTCGAGATTTAATAATTTACTCAATTATTATTAAACACTGAATACATCTCTAAATCGATGTCAGAATCAGTCAGTGATTATTCCCTTTGAATAAAACGCCAGAAATGTGTTGTAATATTAGAATTGAATTTGATTTGAATAGTAATGTCATTGATTTAACGCCGATATAATCGCAGCTTAAAGTTATAGTCAAACAATTTACTTATTATTACGAAATATAATCGACTCTATTATACACTCACATAAAGTTATATAACTATTCAAACACTCATCCCTTAAAACACAAATTAATATAAAACCTAATCTGTTGTATATTTTTTACATAAAAGTCATTAATAAAATCAATTCCAATAATTACTTATACTTTCAGTTTATAAATCATTGCAAAAATTAAAGCATAAACAAGGATCAGACAGCGATGCTATACGTTAACCACAATTCGGGAAATGTATCAAAAGATTTTAAATTTTTCAATACTATTGTTGTAATACTTTTACTATTATTATTTTGAGAATTTTGAATGTTTTTTACAAGAATTCTATTTATTATTTCCATAAGTGCCCGGTTTGTACACGATCGTGTACACAGCATTATTCAAATGTGTTATAATTTATACACTATTCGCGTATTATTCATAGATAGTGTACAGTANAGTGTACAGTAATATAAAAGTGGGGTTTATTATAAACCTGAATAAACCATTTGAATAAACTTTTATTAAATATAATATTTTGAGTATTCAAAGGGGAGATAATTATTATAAATACAGTAACGCTTATTTTGAATTAATGCTTAAAAATTGACTCGATCATTCAATAATCACGTTAAATTAATTTCAACCCTGCCCTCCCTCTAACCGGTGTTGATTATTTCAGATTCATTTAGTATATCTCTATAGAAAAAGCATGATTCCATTGACTTAGCATTACCCATAGACTTAACATTGTCCATAGACTTAGCATTACCCATGTTATCCCTATGCCATAGACTTAAGTTGTAATCCAATAGAAGCCTATGTTAAAGCCTCCCTATGTTAATCCTATGAGAGCTTTCCCATGTTAAGTCTATGTCATAGGTTTAAGCTGGAATCCCATGTTAAATTCCATAGAGCGGAGGGGGGAGGGGGAGGGGGGCCGAACGGTCCTATAAACCACATTATTCATACTGAATTGTGGTTAAAAATATTGTTTACTGTATTATCACTTTATACGTCACTTTTTACCCCACGGGGTGTTGTGTGAGGGATGCCTGACTCGGGTAGGCTTCCAAATAGTAAGGGTGCGTTACATCGATAATACCACCTCTAAGAAACTTACGTAACACCCGATGGCTTGATATCTCATATGAATAGCAATGAATACAATTATTTCTCAAATTCAATGATTAATTATAGATTTCAATAAAACGATTTTTATTTAAAACATGAATTCCACGAAATTAAAACATGAGATGTATTAATGTATTTATTAAACCGCTCGCATTATTTTCGTCGCGTTATGACTAGCATTGACAGTGCATTGAATGGCTGATCACTCATATGTCTGGCCACTCACACCACTGCTCAGTAGTGCTGGTTATGGATTACAGTCAGTATTGCATAACATTACGAAAATAATGCGAGCGGTATACTGTATTTGCCGTCGGCCCCGTCCACAAACTCTGTTTCCCACTCCCTCTCCCATTCTTGTTTTCTATTTTCTCTATAGTTTTCACGTGATCGTTGGTGGTATTTTAAAACAGGCTAAATCCCCGAAAGTGACTTTAAAGATTTTGGAAGCAATTTAATAGAATA